TCTGGAGGGAAAGATTAGGTTTTATATTGTGAATAGGGTGAGGATATAAGAAGTGCCTTAACAACATTATATACTATATAATCATTATTGGATGACCCGAATCAGAAGGCTGGCAGAATTCTCACTCAGTAAGCCTGCTTGGACAGAATCCCCACTTAGAGCATAAAACCTTCTTTCAGAATTTACATACTTAAATTATATTTATATAAATTATATATTTAAATATTATATTTAAATGAATTGAGGATTAGCGATTAGCCTGTGGGGCACAAAACAAAATGATTCATTCTTTCCATTTCCCCTTTAAAGAAATGAATAATACTACGGAGACAGTTACTAGCTCAGACAGAGCAGGTCATCAAAACACTTGAATCACCCTAAATTATAGGTGGGACACTAAGCAGAACAGAGACAGAGACATAATATGAGATAATTTATTTAATAAGAAAATATTAATTTTCTCATAATCAAATTATTCAGATTTACCTTAAAATAACAACTATTGAGTGCTGAATATATGCCAGCCACACAACTGAGTATTTTTCACATTATCTTAATCACCTCTAATAACAAACGAGGTAATGACTAATATCTCCAATTTCCAGATGAGGAAACTGAGGCTTGTAGGGAATACACAATTTGCCTACATGATAGAGCTTGATAGTACCAGAATTCAAATCCCAAGGACTTTTCACTCCAGGCTCTGTGCTCATTCTACCATTCTATGGAAGCAAAGAATAAGCCTATAAGAATTATAATGAAAGCCGTGAAAATGTTCCTAGTGGTATTTTAGTAGGGGATAGAGGATTTTCCTGTGAAAATCGAAGATATTATTTTCAGGAAGCATGTAAGGTGTCACAGAAATTAACCAAGATGGTCACCTAACTATTCAATCCCTTCATCTTGTGAACAAGAATTTGAGAAATGTTTGGTTCTTAGCATTTCCTTGTCCATGAAAGGAGTGAACTTCCACTCCTGATAAAGATGACCTTTATTACATTTCCCCTCATGTGCTGTATCTTGAAAAATCAGACTTTAAGCTGGCTCATAAAAATCTTTGCCCCTTATTTCTATAATCAAATATTTTAAAGTGTCAGGGCTACTAAATTATAGTAGTGACTGAACATCTCATTTCATTATTATTTCTTTAAATGTTTTTTAGAACTAGAGATGAGATCAGGCCAGTCTCAAACTCCTGGACTCACTCATTCCTGCCACCTTGGCCTTCCAAAGTCCTAGGATTACAGGTGAGAGCCACTGCACCTGGTCAGGGACCAAACATTTCAATGGCTATAATCAGAAAATGACGTTTTGTCAGGATAGTTAATAGATTTCACAGTTTTTTTCTTTAAGGTCCACATGCTGAAAGTCCAGAAGAGAGGCTGCATCAGAGCTCCTGTGATTTTTCTGGATCAGTTAAGGCAGTTATAGAACAAACTCTTACTATCATGATCTAGCAAGGGTTTATGAATAGACTCAGTGCCACTGTTATAAGTCACTGGAATTTCACTGCCAGTTAAACAAATCAGCCCTTACAGACTATACAAACAGAAGTATGATTTTCCACTCAGGCCCAGTACTCTGAAGAAAAAGGAAAAGGAAAGGATTCCTGTTAATGGGCACATTGGGGGTGGTCTAGGTTTGAGACTTCTCAGACCGGAAGCAGGACTGCCCTTTGTTGCCATCTGAGGGAGCAAATATCCAGGAAGATTTCAGCTGGACACTTGATTTTTAAGTGGTGACTTTCCTTTCTGGAGAAAAGTACTCAAACCAAGCTCTTGGGGCTCACATACATTAAAATTGGAGGAAAGTGCCCATCTGAGACCAAAGGCCATGTCTGCAAAATGGGCATGTACTTCTTCTTGACCCTGAAGACGTATTCATGCAACCGATTCCAAAGGCCAGGGAACAATTGCTTAAAATCTTTTCCAAACCAGTCTCTAGTGAATTGCATGCTGACCGGTGGTGTGCAACACTTGGGTAACAAGTGAGTATCTCTGGAGAGCCCTATGCTGAAAAGGCAGGATAACTCCACTTTCACAGGGAATCAGGAGGGAGGCACAAGCCAGTGTTTACCCTGCAAAGTCTTTTTTTTTTTTTTTTTTTCCTTTTAGACAGGGTCTTACTCTTGTTGCCCACGCTGAAGTGCAGTGTTGCGATCATGGCTCACTGCAGCCTCCACCTCCCTGGGCTCAGGTGATCCTCCCACCTCAGCCTCCTGAGTAGCTAGGAGTATAGATGTGCACCACCACACTAATTTTTGTACTTTTTTGTAGAGATGGAGTTTTGCCATGTTGCCCAGGCTGGTCTCCAACTCCTGGGCTCAAGCAATCCTCCTTCCTTGGCCTCCCAAAATGTTGGGATTATAGGTGTGAGTCATCTTTTTCTTTCCTTTTTTTTTTTTTTGGTAGATTCTTGGTCTCTCACCCAGGCGGGAGTGCAGTGGCACAATCTTGGCTGACTTCAATCTCTGCCTTCTGGGTTCAAGCAATTCTCCTGACTCAGCCTCCTGAGTAACTGGGATTACAGGGGTGAGCCACCTCGCCCTGGCCCTCTCTCAAAGTCTTCAAAAAGAGCTTTAACAATTAATCCTCGACTCTTATCACTAGGAAAACAAACAAAGCCATCTCTTCTCTTTGGCCTAAAGGAAATCAAGTCGTTCTTTGTAGCATATGCTATTTAAATATGGTGGAGTAGGATAAACTTTCCCTTAAAAATGTCCAAAACCGAAGAAAAAAAAAAATTCCAAAACCACTTGGCACTTGTTGGGGGAAATAGTCAAGATTTGCTTCTCTACTTCTCTCCTTTCCTCCTACAAATAGCCTCTGCTAGGGTCATTCCAGGATGTTATTTATTTACTAGAAACCTGACTTTCCTTTGCACAAGGTTCTGGAGAATCCAATCTGACCCCAACAATCCCATTAACTTCCAAAGGCCATTTCCCTGCCCTATTCCCACCCTAAGGGGAGGGGGCGGTTCGGAGGGGAAGCAGACAATAGCATATATTCTGAGATTTAGGAGCAGCAACTGGAGAGGAAGGTACTCGAGTTTGGGAGGAGACAAGCTGTCCCCACTTGCCTTTTCAGTAAACACAGCTGCAGTTTCCAAAGGGAAGGTGGAGCCTGCCGAGGAATCCACGTTCCTCAGAGGGTGCAACAGCCCTCACCTGCTGAGGAGCTATCAAGGGAAAGGAGATAGATATGGCCCTAATCCCAAGGAAGCGCATCCCCGGGCCAGAGCTAGAAACACACAACCTTGGCAAAAAATCAGAATCTAAATAACTCATACCTCTGAGCAATGGCTCAGACATCCACCTGGTCCAGTGATCTGTGAGGGGTGGATCACTTAAATACACACTTGTTTAAAAACAGGCAAGGATGGCTTAAACATTATTTTAAATACAAAAACAACGTGGAGAGCAAGGAAGGCAGGAGGGGAGGCGGCTGAGTTCTCTTAACTCTCTTCCCCCGTGACCTCCCGTGGGCCACAATGGCACATCCCAGAATTCAGCCACGAATGTGGCAGCTTTTCAGAACCCGGGTGCAGGCAGTCGACGCTCGCCGCGTGAGAAGGCACCGTTCCACGCACTGCCCATGGTGAGCGGCGACAGCGTTCTCAGCCTCCCTCCCCCAAGGGTCCGGCCCATCCCGGAGGCCAAGGTGCCTCTTCCAATTCGACGGAGAACTGTAGTCCACACTCAATCTCTGTCCGGGCAGCGTGGTTGGGGGTGTGGGGGTGAGGAAGGTGGCGATGTTAGGGGGAGATACGGTGCGGGATTAACAAAGAAAAAAATCGAACCCTGTTTTCAAACGAGCAGAACCAAGAGCTACTTGCTTCCCTTTCGACTCCCAAGCCCCTTTGATCATTTTGGGTAGAGCAGGAACCAGCAGCTCAAGGAGCACTCAAATGGGAGTCCCTGAGGAGCTTTGTTCTTATTGTGCAGTAATTAGAGCGCTTGAGGGTGGGGGAGGGAAGGCCCCGCGGGGGACTCGAGGCTAAGGCCGAGGGGGCATTGAGGGACCCTGCATGGAGTGCGCCAGCGCCAAGCCCACCCTCACAGCCGCACGCGGCCTGGGCGCAGGGAGCGCGTGAGGGTGCGCTCATCGCCCACCCGCCGCGCCGCTCACCTAGCACCACCGCGGCCACGGTGGACAGCAGCAGCCAGTTATTCTTCAGGAACCGCTTCCACTCGCATCCCTTCCTCGCCGGTTTCCCCATGGCTGTCGCCGCTATTGTGCCCTGGGCTCGGCCGTGAGCGCGTGGGCTGGGCGACCCGGGGACTGCTGGCTGCTTGGCGGCGCGGCGAGATGCTGGTGCACAGGGGAGAGGTGAGAGCTGGCCGCTGCAGTCGCCGCGGTCACCACCGCCGTTGCCGCCGCCACCCGGGATCGCGCACCGCGCCTGCCGCCCTGCCAGCCCGGTGGTTTTGCGTGGCAGGCGCGCCCGGCTCCTCCTGCCGCCGCCGCGCTCTGCGGCGCCCGGGCCAACCAGCGAGGAAGGAGGGAGGAGCGGCGGGCCCGGGAAGGAGGGTGGGTGCGTGCGTGGGGCGCCTGGGGTCCCTAGGGAGCAGGCGTGGGAGGGCGCCCAGCGCTGCGGCAGGAGCTGGGGCAGCCTCTCCGGGAATCCTGAGTCCCGCCCCACAGCCTTCCACTGGAGTCTGTCTCGCTTTCCACGCCCCACTCATGCTAGGTCTTCGGGTTCAGGGTTTTCTTATGTCCCTAACCCAGAGAGGCGGAGCCACTGCCCTCCTTGGCGTGGGCTTCATCCTGCACGTCTCCCTCTCCGTTCTCTACACCAGCTATTTCCAGTGCCGGCACCCTAGAGAACGGGTGCCCTTTCGAGTTGGGGGAAGCTGATTCTGCCTTGGGTCCCTCTTGCCCCGCTACGCAGGCTGGGATGTGCCAGCAGCCGCGAAAGCCTGAAGCCTCTGGGAGGAGAGAAAGGAGTCCTGGGGCAGAACAGGGCTCTGGAAACTTTCACGCGGAGCCTCCAGTGCCCCCCCACAGGGATTATTAATTCTCCTCTTCGAGTCGCTGGAGGTGATTTGTCTGTGGACACTGGGCTTGGAAGTGTTCCCTGCACAAGGAGATGGTGATTTCTCTTAGAACTTTACTTCCGCTCCTTGTGACCACAGGCCCTGGAGCATGGAGGCTTGGTGCAGTAATTAGGACTGAGAACCGGACCCGGGAGCTGTTCTGGGGAGAAAGTGGGCGGTCCATCCCCTAAGGTCCAACGGATTGGAAAGGCAAACACAGGAGAAACTAGGTTAGTGGTGCCAAATATATTTGGTGTTGCTAAGTGAATTTCTGATTCTCTTCCATTTTCTACCCAGTTCACTCTCACATATACAAACTCTTTCCCTCCGTATACCGAATCAGTACCTCCGCAGCTGCAAGCGGTCTTCCTATCAGCTTTCCTAAAATTAGTGAGCCCGGAACTCTTTTTGCTATTGTAGAATCTACTCTGATTGTGGGTAGGGAGAATTTCCCCTACTAGATTTTCTGATGACTAAATCCTCACAATTTGAGCTTCATTCCTTTGGCGTAAATTGATAGAAGCATCTTTTAAGCGATAATAGATTAAGATTTACAACCTTGTAGACTTTAGTATGAATGAGTTTATCAGCTCTTTCCAGAAAGCAAACTTTGACAGAAAGGTTAGAGGGATTTTAAGGTCTTTGGGTATCTGAGGAAGATCTGAAGAAATGTCAGAAGGGGGGCCGGGCGCTGTGGCTCACGCCTGTAATCTCAGGACTTTGGGAATTCGAGGCGGGCGGATCACGAGATCAGGAGATTAAGACCATCCTGGCTAACACAGTGAAAACCCGTCTCTGCTAAAAATACAAAAAAATTAGCGGGGCGTTGTGGCACGTGCCTGTAGTCCCAGCTACTTGGGAGGCTGAGGGAGGAGAATCGCTTGAACCTGGGAGGCGAAGATTGCAGTGAGCCGAGATCAAGCCACTGCACTCCAGCCTGGGCGACAGAGTGAGACTATCTCTAAAAAAAGAAAAAAAAGAGAAAAAAAAGAATTAAAGAAATGTCAGAAGGGAAACTATCAAGAAAGAGACAACAGTGCCGGGCACTGTGGCTCACACCCGTAATCCCAGCACTTTGGGAGGCGAAGGCAGGTGGATCACTTGAGGTCAAGAGTTCAAGACCAGCCTGACTAACATGGCAAAGTCGCGTCTACCAAAAATACAAAAATTAGCCAGGCTTAGTGCCATGCGCCTGTAATCCCAGCTATTTGGGAGGCTGAGGCAGGAGAATCACTTGAACCCAGGAGGTGGAGGTTGCAGTGAGCCAAGATCACGCCACAGCACTCTAGCCTGGGCAAACAGAGGGAAATCCTATCTCAAAAAAAAAAAAAAAAAAGCGCAGGAGAGAACAGACTTGTCCCACAGTAAAAAACAGCTGGAAAAAACCCAAATGTCCAACATAAATGGAATGGTAAATATATTATGGAACTGCCAAGCAACAGTACCTTATGCAGCCTTCATAAACGAAGTTTATGAAGTTTTTAACAGCATGGGATAGCACATGTTATAAATCTATATTTATAAATATAAAGGGAAGAAAGAAATACTAAAATTGCATATACAATTTGATCACATGTATGTAAAATAAACATATTGGCTGGGTGCAGTGGCTCACACCCATAATCCCAGAACTTAGGGAAGCTGAGACAGGAGGACTGCGTGAGCCCAGGAGTTTAAGACCAGCCTGGACAACATAGTTAGACCTCTGTTTCTACAAACATTAAACCAACCAACTAACAAGCAGATGAAATAAAACCATATGCTTAGAAAAAAAGACCAGAAGAAATATGTCAAGATTTTAACAATGGTCATCTTTGCCTTCTATCTTTTGTATTTCCAAAGTGTCTACCATAGAACCGGGAGTGTTGGCTCACACCTGTATTTCCCAGCACTTTGGGAGGCTAAGGCAGAAGGATCACTTGAGGCCAGGAGTTTGAGACCAGCCTGGGCAACTTAGTGAAATCTTGGCCCTACAAAACTTAAAAAAATAAATAAATAAATAACCTGGGCATGATGGCACATGCCTGTAGTCCCTGCTACTTGGAAGGCTGAGGTAAGAGGATGGCTTGAGCCCAGGAGTTTGAGGTTGCAGGGAGCTATGATTGCACCACTGCACTCCAGCCTGGGTGACAAGAGGCCTTACATCACCCATAGCACTTTCACACTGGGAGGCCAAAGCCCTTGGTCCCCTGAAGGTTTGCTTCAAAATCACTGACAGGCAGATTCATTAATAGGAGAAAAGGCATACCAATGTATTTAACATACACACAGGAGCCTTCAAAATGAAGACCTAGCCTCCCAATGAGGTACAGAAGTTTGTATACCATCTTGAGGTTACAGAGAGAATGGGGGCTTGAATCATGGTAAAACAGGTTGTGGGAGGTGGGGAGAACAGGAATTGCTGAGGGGATTAGGAGGGAGAATGAATGGATCGCTAACATAGATTAATTTGTGAATAGTTCTCTTTGATAGTGAAAGTGTCTGTTCAGGTGTGGTTACATTCTTGGTCTTACAGGAAGGGGAAGAACAAACAATTACTTTCTTTGATGGGTCTGAATCTTAGGCACATAAAGGAATTTCCACTTCTTTGTGACAGACCTTGAGGTTTCTCCATGTCAACATGTCAAAATGCCATATTTTGGGGTGTTGGATTCTGAGCCCAACAACACCTAAAGCCCCTATAGTGCATACTTGTTTTATGTTCATTTAAATTATGCATTGAAAATAGTGCAATATAAAAGATTTTAAAAATTTCAATATATACAAACATTTTGAAATAATCAAAATCTCCCCGACTAAAAGCAAAAGTCAAGCCAGGTGTGGTGGCTCACGCCTGTAATCCCACCTCTCCTCTTTGGGAGGCCAAGGCAGGTGGATTGCCAGAGGTCAGGAGTTTGAGACCAGCCTGGCCAACATAGTGAAACCTCGTCTCTGCTAAAAATACAAAAAATTAGCTGGCCATGGTGGCAGGCACCTATAATTCCAGCTACTCGAGAGGTTGAGGCAGGAGAATTGTTTGAACCTGGGGAGGCGGAGGTTGCAGTGAGCCGAGATTGCGACATTGCACTCCAGCCTGGGCAACAAGAGCAAACAAAACTCCGTCTCAAAAAAAAAAAAAAAAAAGCAAAGGCAGGAGTCTCAAAAGTTCAACGCTGGTAGTACAATCCCCTGATGGGTTCTTGCCTGCCACACAGGTAGAGCTGATTCACTGAGACACTGGTATTGTTGTAAAGATGGAGCTTAATTAATACAAAGCTAGTCACATGGGGAGACAGGAGGTTATTACTCAAATCAGCCTCCCTGGAAATTTGGAGGCTGGAGTTTTTAAGAATAACTTGGCAGTCAGGGTTTAGGGAATAGATTCTGCTGGTTGGATGAAGATGAAATCACAGGGGTGTGGAAACTAGTCCTTATGCAGAGTCAGTCTCTGGGGTGGGGCTACAGGACTGGTTGATTTGTGGATCTGATTGTGGTCAGCCAGTCCTCAGAAATCCAAAAATCTGAAAAACATCTCAGAAAACCAATCTTAGGGCTGAGCACGGTGGCTTACGCCTGTAATCCCAGCACTTCGGGAGGCCAAGGTGGGTGGATTACTTGAGATCAGGAGTTCAAGACCAGCCTGGCCAACATGGTGAAACCCTGTCTTTACTAAAAATACAAAAATTAGCTGGGCATGGTGGTGAGTGCCTGTAATCCCAGCTACTTGGGAGGCTGAGGCAGGAGAATCGCTTGAACCCAGGAGGTGGAAGTTGCAGGGAGATGAGATTGCTTTACTGCACTCCAGCCTGGTCGACGGGAGTGAAACCCTGTCCCCCCCCACCCCCATGCCAAAAAAAAAAAAAAAAAGGAAAAAGAAAACCAATCTTAGGTTCTACAACATGTGATGATGTTATCTACAGGAGTACATTGGAGAAGTTACAAATCTTGTGTCCTCTGGAACAATGGTTGGTGATCATTTACGCCTACATCTTAGCAGAATTCAGGCTCCCTTCATAATCCTGATCTTTTGTCTTTTCATTGGTTCTATAAAGACGATTCCTGTCCTCCAATGAGGAGGGGATAGTTTTGGGAAGGGCTATTACTATCTGTACTTCAAGGTTAAACTGTAACTTCCTCCTAAAGTTAGTTTGGCCTACACTGGGTACAGTGGCTCACGCCTGTAATCCCAGCACTTTGGGAGGCCAAGGTGGGTAGATCACCTGAGGTCAGGAGTTCAAGCCCAGCCTGGCCAACATGGTGAAACCCGTCCCTACTAAAAATACAAAAGTTAGCCAGGTGTGGTGGCAGAGGCCTGTAATCCCAGCTACTCAGGAGGCTGAGGCAGGATAATTGCTTGAACCCGAGAGGCAGAGGTTACAGTGGGCTGAGACTGTGCCACTGCACTCCAGCTGGATAACAGAGCAAGACCCCACCCCCAAAAAAAAAAAAAAAAAAGCGCAGGAGAGAACAGACTTGTCCCACAGTAAAAAACAGCTGGAAAAAACCCAAATGTCCAACATAAATGGAATGGTAAATATATTATGGAACTGCCAAGCAACAGTACCTTATGCAGCCTTCATAAACGAAGTTTATGAAGTTTTTAACAGC